TGTTAGAGGGACACTATAGTCACCACAACAACTCCAGCTTAATGTAATGGTTCTGGAGTCTACAGCCTGTCCCAGCAGGCTTTTCAATGTAAACGCTGCCTTTTCAGAAAAAAATGCAGTGTTTACATTGGTTCCTAGATATACCTCTAGATGCAGTCACTCATATGACTGCTAGAGGTGCTTCCTGGGGCAGTGCTGCACAGTGTGACTGATATTCAGTGTCTCCACGTTCTGCATGCAGACACTAAACTTTCCTCATAGAGTTGCATTGATTCAATTCATCTCTATGAGGAGATGCTTTTACTGAGATCGTAGGGGGCTATATTGTCAGGAAAACATATTTATATTACTGACACTATAGTGTTCCTTTAAATAGTTTTGTCAGGTTATAGTAGTTTTATTTGGCTTTGCTTGGGGTCAAGGAATAAACAACAAAGACTTTAACTAGTAAATATAAAAATCTTTTATTTTTGTTTATACATTTAAATAAAATATATCTATATATTGTAGATTTATTTACTTCCACAATTCTTAGTTTGAGGTTTGTAGTTTGGGATATGTGGATGGGTGTTAAGTGCTTGGGAACCGCTAGTCAGCTGGGCGTAGAGTCCCGTTATATGAGCCCAGCGGAGTAAGCATTATCTGGCTCCCCTTGTATGGGGACCATAGGGACCCATTATTATCTGCTTCTAATGGGATAAAGAATTGAGTACAGGCCACTGATTGCTCCCTGCTTCATACTATTGAGATCTAAGAGGACACAACTTTTTTATAAAAAAAAATGTTTCTGTGCCGTAGAGGAAAACAATGCATTGTGCTATGACTCTCTAAAGTTTAACATTAGTTCCGTCTGGCGTTGCTATTATTGTTACATGCACATTTTTTACATTTTCAGTGGTGATCACTATGTGAGGATTGCTACCAGTTGAAGTAGATATTACTAGCAGTAGGCTATTAAAATGTAGTTGGATGGAGCTAGCCAGCAAGCTGAGCGGTAGCAAGCTCTGCAAGCTCCGACAAAGCGACAGCAATCGCCTATTTATCACCTTTTACGGAGACGCAAAATACTCCACCGAGGTCCCACACAACGGGTGAAAATATGGGGAAGCATTCCTGGAAAATTCAGGGCCTGAGTGGGGGTCCAACCCGAGATATTGGACTAATGCTCTCACAACTCCACCTCGGCCTCAGAGGACGAGGACCCAGAACTCCTGTCACAGCCCCGCAGCAGCAGGGCCACTTCCAAGAAGCAGCCTGACCCACAGTGGGCTACAAAAACTGATATCATTAAGATGGTAACTGAAATCTAAGCATTCTTTGACTTAAGAAATGACGACCTTAAAAGCTGACGTAGGCACACTAGCAGGCAGAATCCAGGCTGCGGAGGAAAACGTTCAAAGCCTTGGACTTAAACAACAGTCCACTGATACTCACCTACAGAAGGTGTCAAACACCTGTGCAGTGCTGAGTGCTAAGATGGAAAACCATGAAGATTTGGCACGCTAGTGCAAGCTGAAAATCCGGGGTATCCCTGACGCTATTGATGCTGGAGAATTACCTCACTACATCAGACGACTATTTGCAGCAGCCTTGATACCTAAGCAGGCCAAAGGACTGCAGCTAGAGAGACTGTACAGAATACCGGAGGCCTCAAGAACAAGACACAGACTCCCAGGGATGTAATTCTATACTTCAAGTCACAGGCTGATAAGGACTCCTTCCTTACACAAGTTAAAGGTCAAGTACCGTTTACGTTTGAGCAGCATGCTTTGAGCTTTTATCATGACCTTAGCAGAGCTACACTGCAGTGGAATGCCACATTCAAGAAAGTGACCTCACAGCAGAGATCAGCAAATGTCCCATACAGGTGGGGGCCCCCACGGTCCCTTAAAGGGGTCAACGATACAAGCTAACTTCACTGGCCAACGCAGGCAGCTTTCTACAAGCACTGGGGCTGGCTACCATGTCACATCTGGGACTGGCAGATCTACTTACTAGTGGGACATGGACCTCAGCTCCGGGATGAGGGGCAAACGGAAGATGTCTTGCTTAACCAATTCCCCATCACACGGGGGTTTCATAGCAGACGCTCCAACTTTACGTTACCAATTGACTAGCCTTTAAGACTGTTTTAGTTTAGATTTGTTTTTAATCATAAATGTTTTTATGCACACACTTCGCCACCATAGAAGTGACCTACACTGGTCATATGTCCTCGGTGGAACACAGCAAAACATAAGCAACGCACAGTTCTAAGGAACCGTTTCCAACACACTCTCTCCCTCTCCCTTTGGGATTATAAAGCTCATTAGTTCCCCATTGGGCTAGAACACAAACCTATACACACTGCCAGACAGGCCTCTCGGAGTAAATCTCTACATAGAATCTTTATACTAGTAGGCAAATAGGTTGACATCTTCTTCACACCTGCATGACCCAGGTCAAATGGTTTCTAATCTGTTTATGTTTGTTATTGGTCTCGGATTGCTGCCATGGTCTACACTTATATATAAGCTACTGTATACCAACCTCACTATACCGAAGTCTATATTATGTATAATTTAAAAATAGGTGTAAATTGCTGACATGTTCGCTGTCAATGTTCTGCATATGTTACTTGATACACGTGTTATACTAACGCACCTGCAAAAATAAAGCATTTTAAAAAGATATATATATAGTAACTAGATTGGAAACATGTCGGTAATTTGTGGCCACTAATATCTACTGTCTGTTGTTGTTGCAACAAGATTTGTTATATGCCCTCTATCTGGCAACACATATTTCCTCTGAAGGTAAGAGCCTGTATATTGTGTGGAAGGAAACAAAAGATTTCTCGCATTGAGTACACTTATTCTCTTGTAGTTGGTCCCCCAAGAAGCCGAGCTGCCCCGCTACAATCAGTTATGAATGCTGCCGCCAGACTGATCTTTCTCACCCGTCGCTCCTCCCATACCTCACCCCTCTGTCGGTCCTTACACTGGCTTCCTGTATCCTATAGAAGTCAATTTAAAATACTAACCCTTACCTCTAAAGCTCTAACCAACTTTAGTCCCTGTTGCAATTCATCACTGATTCGTAGGTATGCCCCCTCTCAGTCTCTCCGCTCGGCAGGTGACCTTCTCCTGGCCGCTCGTCGCACCCTTACTGCTAACTTGCGCTTGCAGGACATTTCACTGGCAACTCCATTCCTTTGGAACAGCCTGTTTACCCCCATCAGACTCTCCCCTAGTCTTCATTCATTTAAGAAGTCCCTCAAAACCCTTCTGTTTAGAAATGCTTATGGCCGCCAAGAGTAACTTCTATCTCTCAATCCTTCCTCTTGTTCTCTCCTAAAGGGCCACACTCTACTCTCTCCTCAGTTCTGCTACTTTCCCACCTTGTTGCTCAGTTTCTATCCCCTTTGATGACCTTCCTGTTGTGTTTTTATACTCCACCATTTTGTAATTGTCTCATTTATTGTTAAAGTTCCTCCTTTTATAATATTGTAAAGTGCTGCGGAATAAGTTGGCATTATATAAATACCAATAATAGTAATAAACTCTGCGTCTGAAGTTTCTTGTAACCCATATGTGAATTTAGTCCAACTGATCATGTATCTTCTTCCACAGAAAATGCAAAGAGCCGAAGATGAGAATAAAAGACTCAAGGATGAGAATCAGATGCTGCTAAAGTTAATGGGCCAGCTGGCCAGTTAATGAATCGGCAACACAGAGCTGTTTTCAATGGTCCAGTACAAAGAACAGACTGAAATAGTAATTCCCACTAAACTCACTGTCACTAACCCCAACACACAGTCAGGAACAAGGACAGAAGACAAGGAGTGGACACAGTGTAGGGTAAGAAGACTGGTGCTTGTTAAGTACAAGACAGACATGGCGATGGCGAACTGAAGGATCCAATCAAGTGCTTGATTCAATGAATGCTTTTCAGGACATGTACCCAAACAAAGTAGGATAGAGCCATCTCCTCTATAGCCTCATACAATTTTGCTTGTCTTGCAAAAATACTCAGCTAACACGCCTTTGTAGTGACAGATGTGCAACCGTGCCCCAGCTTCCACTTAAAAGCTAACTTCAAGATAATGCTCTTATACAATAAGAGGCAGCAATTAACCAGAGCACCTGCCTGGCAAAGATCTCATTGAGCTGCATTGGGAAGTCTGTGATTGGACAGCCATAGAAAGTTTGGGTGGGGCTAGAAGAGGAGGGTTTGCAAAGTCAGCAGACAAGAAGCTGCATATTTTGTAAGCTGTTTTGATAGATACTCCCAATGAAGCAATGCATAATTAAATGCATGCATGTTTTCATTTAGGTTATATTTACTAAACAGTATTTTTAAATGTATTTTGTATTTCGGCAGTAGAGTGTCCCTTTAACATTAATTATGGAGTCTTTAGTTGCCAACATATAATGTACCCTATGTTATAAGTACACTGGACAGTGAGTGGTGGTACATTTATATTGCACAGCATAAGCGACCAGGGGACTGGAAACCTTCTGGTCGCTGTTTATGTACTTAAAGGGAGAGTGTAGGATCAGAACATGCCTGCAATCCACTTAGGTGGGTCTGTGATATATATATTTAAATAGGGGCTTGGCCAACTCCTGTCCCAAATATAACTTTATAGATTGTTATTTCTAGGTAAGGGGATGGAAAACCCCAGTTGGATCCATTATGTTTAGTATAGGATTATTGGTCTCCCTCTTGCTTAATTTGGTTCCAGTTCCACAGCACATGTTAGATAAGACCTCAAGACTTTAGTTATATTATTAATGTTACGATAGGTGAGTTGGTGATCAATACGGCTGCCATTGACCATTGTTGTTGGGTAGATAATAGGGTATTGAAAGACAAACTATATTTTGATTTTCTTTGATGTGTCAGCACCTTTTTTTCACACTTCTAAGCTCATTTTTCATGTTAAGCTGCTTGCAAATTAAGGAATTAGGCATAACGGTACAAACTGATCATTTTTCTCCACCCAGCCTTAAAAAAAGCCTCTAGAATTTATATCAGTTGGTTTAATCCCTCTTACTGTGTAATTATTTAAATGAAGCCAATGCTTAAATGTGGCATTTTCTCAAAGACATTCCATAGGGAAACAAATTAAATACCTATGGCAGACTCCCTGACTAAGGAAAAATTGTTTGCGACAAATTGTGACACATAATTGTGTGTATGGGAATTTGTTTTCCAATTGCTAATTCACAATTTAGTGATACCTTACATTTTGTTCCTATTTAGTTGCCTTTATTAGCCCTTTTACGGACTAAGGAGGCCTCAATTTAATTGGTTGAGTCAGCATCGTAAATGATACCAATCTGTTAGAATTAAAAACTTTTCACAAGATTTATCTACAAAACTCCCATAGACTTTAATGGTGACTTTAAATTTCTCCTTATACTAACAACCAATACAACAATCAACACAGACATATTATTTATATCCCTGAATATTATTTTTATGCAAAATAAGCATCCAACATCCCCTTTAGGCAGAGAATTCCACATATTTGTTGATCTTAATGTAAGAACCTTTTCCTCTGCTATAAGAGAAATAACCTTTCTTCCAGTCTCAATGGGTGACCTCTTCCCTCTTGTATATTCCGACTAGTGAACAGATTAGCACACAGTGGTTTGTATATACTTCAAATCCCCTCTGAGATGTCTTTTTTTTTATAAAGGAGACACGTGCAGTTTTTCTAGCCTTTCTTGATAACTACTGTTTCCCATCCTCTTTACTACCGTACTTTTACTAGTTCTGCAATAACCGTCTTTAAAACTTGCTAGTTCTGCAAAATCCTTTGGCTATGAACGTCTCATTTTCAAGTTTAGTCAATACAGTAAACTATCCATTAATTAATCCTAAAGAATGATCTCCACTTAGAGAACTTGTATTCGTGCTTAGGGACCTACAAATGGGGGTAACCCAAAATTCCAGACTATGTACAACTAAAGTCTAATATGCCCTGAAGGTACAAAAGACAAAAAAGGTCCCCATAGATTGATAACCAAAGCATAAGAACTAATAAAAGAAACTTATTTCAAAAATTGGAATTAAAGGACTTACAAAAGTTACACTATTAAAAAAGCGATAAAAGCTTAGTGCAAGATAGAGGGACAGATTGCTAAATATCTCCTAAATGCTAGAGTTGATTGTCTTGGCTATGAAGTTCAACCGACCAGTTAGTCATTTAATTAGAAGAAACCACCCAAAGCAGTGCTTGAAAGGAGCAATTCACCAGAGCCCTTTATAGGTTTCTCCGAGGGCTGAAAAGCAAGAATTTTTTTAATACTGCAACTTTTGGCCTTTTTGTTAATTAAGATATCCATCCATTGATCCACCCATTTTCTTAAGCTACCAATCTATTAAACCCATCTTCCATCTCAAGCTATTATCCATCTATCTCAATCTATTTAGCTACCAAATCCATCCATCTTCCATCTTGACCCATCATCCACCCATCCATCCCAATTTCTTAAGCTACCACATCCATTCCATCCATCTCAATTCATTATTCAAGCATTCATCCACCCATCCATTTCAATCTATTTAGCTACCAAATATATCCATTCATAAGCAACTAAATATATCCATTCATCCCAATCTATTTAACTTCCAAATCCATCCGACTCAATGTATTGAGCTACCAACTCTGTTCCACCCATCTACCATCTCAAGCCATTATCCATCCATCTCTATCTATTTAGCTACCAAATCTATCCATCCATCAATCCATCCATCCATCCATCCATCTATCCCTGCATATCAATCTATTTAGCTACAAAAGCAATCCATTTATTCATCCATTCGCCAATCCATCCACCAACAAACACAATAAATTAATGTATCTGACCATTAATTTCTATTCATTAGCTCTCCCAAATCTGCAAATTTGCTGACATTATGGATCTTAAATTGTTACATTTGTAAGATGTTATACCCCTGTAAGACGTTGTACCCCTGTACGATGTTATACCCCTGTAAGACAATATACCCCTGTAAGATGTTATACCCCTGTAAGACGTTATACCCCTGTAAGATGTTATACCCCTGTAAGATGTTATACCCCTGTAC